ACACACACACAAACGTGCACCGGCATTGATCCTGGTAGACACTTGTCACTGCTTCTGCCATGACAACCTGTCACTGTAAACCGAGGCCAAGTACAATGAAGGTTGGCAAACAGTAAACATCCATTCACCAGCAACCTACTAAAGCTGCTAATCTACCAAACACCTTCAGTCAGCGCCATTACTTCCTCATGCTGCAATTTTGTCATTTTCCTCCCCTTTCCTTCCGCTTTTTAAATACGCTTGAGCAGCAGCAGGTTTTCAACCATAATCTCATAAGCTATAATCATAACCTGCTTGTAAACAAAACAGGTTATTTACTCTGACTAGGGTTTGGAAAGAGAACTGGCTTCTAATTAGACCGGTGCCAAATTTAAACCAGTTCCTGGCATTTCCTGCGGTGTCTGTAGGCCTTTTTCACAGCAGACATTTTAATTTGTGACAGTAGGAAAAGCACCGGTGCTACTAATAACATTAACAAGAGCTCTGTTCTATTAAAATGTCCCAGTAAACCTGTGTGATAGTGAACTACCATATTATTAGGACCCTGAAACCCAAGCAGCTAAATGGAATTCAGCCATGATTCATTTTATTATTTACACCTGTGCTTTTTCTACTGTCAAAATGTCTGCTGTATAAAATTCTCTAACAATAACAATTCTTCTTATAACTGCATTTCACTTCTCAGGACTGTGGTCATGTACAAACTGTGCTTGATTGACATGTGCCCGGAGGTCTAATCAGTAACTGAAAACACGAAGGGCTTAACACAACAGGATGCACATTTTCACATTGAAGTTAAGTACACTTGACAGTGTAACTGAAATTGCAAAAATTCTTTCATTCCTGCTTATGTCTTAGATTAGCATACTGTAGCTGGTGCTTTAATTTGGGTGTTCAAAAAATAGTCTTGTTCTCCAAAGAGATGCAAAATGGCACAACGTGAGTGGAACCCACCCAGGCCAGCATGTTGCATCAGTAACCTATGGAGAAAGAATCATATTCTCACCAAAAGGTAAATCATAAAATATACAGCCTTTATATTTCCTTGGTGATGCAGTGTTTCCAGCACATCTTGGTAAGTGTATAAATTAAGTTTAAGGCTTATACTACTTATATATACAGTTTGTAGTAATCTTATGTAATCTCATTTGGCTTATTTTCGTCCCATGACATTGCTACTGCCTTCCTATGATCACAAAAAAAAATGCCACTTGGTTAGTAGTCGATTAGTTCTCCCTGTAGAGTACCTGGATGATTGGTATGTGTTTCTAATCTGCAAGAACCAACACTCCTGGACAGTAACAGGAAATGGCTAACAATAAAGAAGCTAGGAGCTGCCAACAAATCACTAACTGTAATACCAAACCAGTGGTGATAATGTTTCTTGAATGTCTCACCACTGTTGCTAATCCATGGAAACCAGCAGCAATATTCCCTTCAAAGAGGAACTAATGCTAATCTAATGGCTGTTAAGCCGTAATGAGTTTGCTTGCTTCTTTCCAGTCGGGTTTAAAGAAGGCCTGTTTAGACTATCGGGACTGCTGTGGTCCCCTTATCATTACATGCTCATCATTACTCCTTACTAATCTGTTCTGCTCAATGCACACACAGATGAATATTAATGCCATGGAGGATGATAGCCGTGTGTGTGTGCCGCATGAACACACACAGACAGATGCAGATAGGCGCCAAAAGTTGGAACGACACACGCACAAGCACACAAAGAGGAACACGCACACTCTTGCGTGCTCTCTGTGCTTTGCCAAGTGAGACGGCTGAGCCTCCTCTTCAACTCCGTGGAGGAAGGGAAGCTTGATACGTCGCACACACAAAAACACACACACACAGCTTCCTTCCTTGATACTTTATCACAGCAGCAGAAGGATGGAAAGAGAAAAGAATCAGTTTTAAGTGAAATCAATAGAGAGATAATCCCCTAAATTAGATTTTGAAAAGCTTCGCCGCTGATGCGCAACTTAAAACCCAAGGATTGGCCCACTTGACTTACCAACGAAACAATCCTCAAGTAAGATGCAGTTACCATGGGAATGAGTGAAGGTCAAGGATAAGAGGAGAGTGAGGGACAAGAGGGGAGAGAGGGAAGCAATGCTCTAAATCAAAGAAATATACCCAGGAATCTGCATACTGAATCAGGGTAAAACGGCTGTGATTACAATGTCACTGTGATTAATGTAGTGTAGCGCCTTAACACCCCGAGGAGGAGAGCCGCACAGAGTGCAGGGATGGCTCGCACCTGACAGACCTGAAATGTCATGTCATGATTGGAGAAGAGATGAAGGGTTAAAAGGTTAAGTCGTTTGATTGGATGTGGAGGCCTTTCTGTGTGTGGCCAGACCTGGAGGCGGACAGATAGCTCTGGCAGAGAGTAATTAAACCTCAGCAGAGGAGGAATTATCAGTAGGAAATCCATGATTTTACAGTACTGATGCTGGCAGCTTTTCCTCTGTGCCCCAACAAGATTGCTCTCGTTGCCCCCCCCCCCCAACGTTCTCTGCTGTCTGTCTAACTCAATCTCTCTCCTCTTTCACCACCTGACTCTCCCTTGTCTTTTGTCTTTTTTTACCTCCCGCTCCTGCTCTCTCTCCCCACCTCCCTGAATCTGTCACTTTCTGTACCTCTCCCTCCGTCTCAGAGTGAGAAAATTGTTACAGTTAATAACAGGCCTGATGACAAGTGCAGCTGCGATCTGCAAATGCAGAGCTGATGGAGAGTGTCTGAGAAAGAGGGAAAGAGGGAGGGATGGGAAAACGGTTAGAAAATAGCTTGGTTGCACAGTGGGGGGGTTGGGGGGTGGGGTAAGATGTTGTACATTATGTGTTTGGCTTGAGGAAATAACAGCGGTAATTTCAGATGATTAACTTGTTAATATTCCTGCGTGGATAGCACCACTGCAGCCCCCATTGCTGGAGACAAGCAAAAGTTCTGTAATGCCTCTGCTTGTCACGCAAACAACTCCCCCAATGTCCCCCCATTCCCTCTACCACACACCATTACGCATACGCACAAACGAGGCCGCAGGAAATAAACAAAGTAGGTTGTGTTCAATTAAACAGCTTTGCCTCTAAATGTGATCCTCAGCTGCTTAAGAACTATCTCATCATTATTCCTGCCTGCTCTGAGTATTTTTCCTCTCTTCGCCTAAAGAGAAAGCCGAGCACAATATTCTGTTACAGAGAGTAATGACATCAAATTGACCGTTTGCTATAACCACTCCCTGATCAGTGATTGTCCAATCATAGCTTAGCAACCATAAATAGGCACAGCAGGCCTGTCAAGCTTTGGATGTCTTCACATGCTGAAATGCTGTGCATGAGGCTCTAATAAGAGTGATACTCTGTTTACAGAGTTGGAGCAGGACTGCCTGTCCAAAACTACAAAAACAGTCGAAGGAATGGATTCAACTTTGAGTGTGTCTGCTCCAGTGTCAGCTGCAAACTAGCTGACTAATAACATACTGTTGTAGTTTTATTCCCAAGACCAATGAGCACGTCATTGGCTAACATTACATTATGTTATGGGGGCACAAGTTACATTAATGAAAGTCCTGTTCATAATATACAGAACAATACAGGATACTGATCCTGGATGCTATGGGCTACTATACTAGTTTATTGTGACAGCTCTGTCCTGCTTTTTATTTGAACATTGTCTTAAAAGCCCTCTATCATAAAACAAAAATACATATATCTAACCTTTGTTTCTTGTCAACATGCATCACCAACTGGTGAGGATGCCGAGCTTTTACCTGAACGACCTATCACGTTTCCATCATTAATGCATTGAGCATATTTACAACACTTTTACATGGTTCTTGTTGTAAAAGGAGTCCTCCCGAGATTGCATTTTCAACCAACTCACAGTTTAAGCACAGCATTAATTAGCCAGCTAGCTATCTACAGCTGTTAAAATCTGCAAGACACAGATGTTATTTCTGCAAAACCACCAATCACCAGCTAGAAGTGAGAAGCCTCTCTGTGAAATCAGGGACCCACTGCTTCAAGAATAAAAAAATTGTAGTTGCATGTTATTGTAAACAGTGCCATGCAAGAACAGGAAGCTCGACAAGGCGTAGCAGTT